GTCACTCTTTCCTGTTGGATCCTTAGCTCAGACCCTGCCTTAACCCCCTCCCTTTCTGAAATGTATAAGTATCCCTGCAGAGCCTGAACCCCAGCTTTTCCTGGTTTGTTCCTTGTACTGTGCATGCTGTTTAGTTTGTTGTTTTGCTGCCACATTAAAGTTGCTTTTCCTAACAACTGGATTAGGCAGTCTCTCTCATCAAAGTCGCCAGGGCTGGTTCTCGGGGAAGCCACTGGTCAGCCGTCAGGGCTAGGACCAGAAGGCTTAATTGGCTCTCCTTTGTTGTTGGATCTTTTTAGACAAACACTTTTTCTTGTCTTTTACAGTAGTGGCCAGATGAAGTGCTACTGGGGCTTTTGCCTTCCTGATTATCTTTCTACATGGGGTGGGGCCAAGGGGTGGAACACATGGTGGGCTGGGTGCGAAAAGCAGTTTGGCAGGGCACAGGGCTTCTCTGGGGATGTTTAGAAGACAAACTCAAGGGGGGGACAAAGGAATGCTGCAAATCACTAGGACACAAACAAGGGTAGTCAAAGTAGAGGGGCAAAGGCCTAAGAAAGCAACATCTTGATGGAAATCGCCGGGCCTTTGAGACAAGGGGTGGCCATGCCCACCACAAAGGCCCACCAGGCCTTTGTGACCCGCGGTTGCATTGTGCCCAGAGGCCATTGTGACACGGGTTCATGCCATGACCTGGAGGGCTCTTGTGGGGCCAAAGCCCTCATGTTGTCACTCTCAGGAGAGCAGGTCTCTGAGGAGGCAGCAGTTCTCTCACGAGGCAGCAGCTCCTCAGGAGGAAGCAGCTCTCCCGAGTGATCTTGGCCGGTGTTCCTCAGAGCACTGCCAAGATGTCCAAGAGAAAGGAAGCGAATGCCCACTGCCAGTCCTGTGAGGGGCAGCCACTGCTGTCCAAGCGGCAACAGGTGAGGGATGGGAATGGAGGGAAAGGCTGCAGTGGGACCTGGGGGAGGGCTGGGGGCAGAGAGCAGCAGCCAGGCCTGGCTCCAGGCCTTGCTCTGGGGAGGAGCCGGTGCCAGGATGGCCTGGGTGAGGGAATGGCCCAGAGACAGCAAGCGCAGCTGGGAACCCAGCCCAGCCTGGCTGCTGTGGTCAGCACCTGCCTTGAGACAAGGGCCGTGAAAGCATTTGGGGGGACAGAGTGTCCATATAGCTGCCTCCATCTACCACCTCCTCCTGCTTCCCACAGGTGACTCACAGGCAGCCACAAGCAGCTCTGCAGGTCACCTGGACAAACATCGCGTCCCTCCACGGGGACAAACCGCTCCCCAGACCAGTCACCTCAGGGAGCCTCCCAGGACATGAAATACAGGAGGGCAGTCTGGAGGGAGGGCACTCAGTGCCCCTCAGTGGCACAGTCACACGGCCACCAAGATTGTCCGTGTCAGACTTGCCACCTCTCCACGGCCCTCCATTGTCAGTGACACCTCTGTGGCAGCTCAGCCCTGAAATACCAAGAGCAGCCTCGGCACGGATCAAGCTGCCCCCTCTGCCAGCAGCCCCAGCAGCCTCTGGGTCTTCTCCCGGAGGCAGAGCACAGTCCGCAGGCCACGTAGCCAGCAGCCACCGAGACCTAGTGCCACCTTCTCCATGGGGCACTAGGGCTGCTTATGGGGCCAGGGAAACACCTTCCCTGGACAGCTCAGCTGAAAGGCTCTGGTGAGGGTCAGGAGCAAGGCAGGGCCATCGCCTGCCACCCCTGCGATGGGCAGGTGGCACGCTGCTCCAAGCAGGGACCCAGCCTGCCTGGAAGCACATGGAGCACAGCGAGACAGAGGGGCTCACTGAGGTGCAGGAAGAGCACAGTGGCAAAACCTATTGGTACCCATTTAGAGGCCTTGCCCCGTGCCTGTGTGAAGAAAGGTACATCATGTCGACCTGGACCCAGAAGCGGTCCAGTGTCTGCCAAGAGGCAAATGCAGAGACCCAGGTGATGCCCAGCGCTCTTGGCTTGACCAAAGATGCCACAGAAGAGACAGGAAACTCCTCTGCGTTCTTGTCTCCTGCCCAGTTGGCAGAGCAGCCCACTGTCTCTGACAACTTGCAGCCCTGGGACAGTTTTCCAATAGAGCCAGAGGACAAGTGGCAGGAGGAAGAACTCCCAGAAACAGAGGCTGCAGGAGACAGGGACAGCAATCCTCAGAGCACATCCCTTGCCCTCTTGAAAGAGAAACAGGCAGGAGCTTCTGCCCTGGACAAAGATCCCTGGGATGAGGGGCACAACAAACTTTTGCCATCACCAGTGCAGGAGGAATGCTCAGACTTCTCAGCTTCTCCCTCATCTGGAAGCCCCTGTGAGGACAGGGAAACTCATCCGCTGCCTGAGCAAACTGCACGTGGCAAGCTGATGGGCACAGGGCCTGAGGATGCTTCAAAGCATCTTCTGAATATCGAGGCAGAGGAGCTGGAAAAGTTGGAGGAAGACATCCTCTCCTCCCTGAATGCAGAAAGCCCCTGGGTTCAGCACAGCCTTTGCAGCTGGACCATAGACTGTACAGGAGAGACCAAAAACCACGCACAGCTCGTGCCTCCCGACCTGTTTGAAGAGCTGTGGTCTCTCTTTAACAACGAGGATGCGCCGTCCAGGGACACTCGGCTAGACCAGCTGCTGGCAAAGTGGGAGGAAGAAGAGCGCCCTGACAGAGACACTGCAGGAGAGGGGGACAGTGAGCCAGAGAGCGAGTTGTCCCTTCCACTGCAAGAGGAGGGAGCAGAGCCAGCAGCTTCTCCCCTGGACGGGGATCCCTGTGAGGAGGGGCACAGTGAGCCTCTTCCTACGGCACTGCCCAAGGACACAAATATGTCTGCGGTTTGTGTCGCGACTGCCGATCCTGCAGACGAGGCCGAGGCAGCAGGCACGGAGGCTGGCTGTGCCCAGGCCGCCCCTCCCCAGGAAAAGCCCTGCGGGGATGAGCCGCCGGCAGGAGCTTGCCCGGTGCCTGCCCAGCCCCTCACACTCTTTGTTCCTGCTTGCCCCGCTGGCAGCGCAGCCGTCCCGCAGCCCCCGGCCCCACGGCCATGGCGCTCCATGGCCAAGAGGGCCCGGCGGGCTCTGCGCCGCCTTTTCTCCTTCAGCTGCCTCAGGGGGCAGCCAGAGGAGTGAGCCCGGGGCCAGCAGCAGGCGGATTCCCAGTGATGACTGCTCACCCTTAGGCAACCACTTGCCAAAGGTAGGTCCTGCTGCCAGCCCCAGCCCAACATCCACAAGAAAATAGCAAGGCAGCCGGGCCAGGGAGAGTCAGCTGAGAAAGATGGCAGCGGTGCCTGGTACAACCCAGATAGAAGTTGACTTTAGGCCCAATCTGAATTGGGGCGGTGCATCTCCACCCTGCTCCCAAGGCTGCATTCAGAGCTTAGAAATGCTCCTTGGGCCTCAGCATTGCAGGCAAAGGAAGGCATCCTCCTTTCACATGGCAAATAGGAAAATACCTCCCTGGATAGCCCCAAGGACTGGAGAAAGGTGTGAACCCTCCACAAGAACCACAGAGACCCCAAGCACTGACAAGCACATGGTAAGGAAAGACTGAGGTGACATCCCTGGAACCAAGCGTCTTGGACTGTCTTCTGCTTCATCTTTCTCCCAACCCTCTCTGTCCCCACTTCCCTTCTCACCCTCCTCTATTCCTTTCTATCTCTCTTCCTCCCATTTATTATTAAATAAAATCCCTGTTGTTAACTTTGGTAGATAGATGGTCTCATTGGCTCCTTAATTTGGGCAGAGGCATCTCTCACTAATCTCCATCTCAACAGGGCCACACATCTGCACACAGCATTTGAGGTGTGGCCTCCCCAGTGCCCAGCACAGAGGGACAATCACCACCCTGGTCCTGCTGGCCACACTAGTGCTGATACAGAAGGCCTGGAGACCACTGCCTTCTTGCCCATCTAGGCACTTGCTGGCTCAAGTCCAGCTGCTGTCAACCAGCATTCCCAGAGTGTTTCCCACTGGGCAGCTTTCCAGCCACTCTGCCACAGCCTGGGGCACTGCAGGACTTTGTTGTGGCCAAAGTTTACAACCTTGAACTTTGCTTTCTTGAACCTGATACCATTGGCCTTGGCCCATCAATCCAAAATATCTGGTTCCACCCCTGTGCCTCAAGCAGACATGCCACCCAGTAGATCAGTTTGCCTAGGGCTCCATCCAAACAGGATTATTCCAAAAAGAGCTGATGTTATGTGATGTTATGTGAGAAGTAGTAAAGAGATACACACCAGCCACTCTGAAAATATCAGACCACGGAGACAAACATCTTCTGGAAGTACCAGTTGCAGCTGGTTCAGAAATATGAATGAAGTGATCAAGACTGATCACTACTGCAGGAAAAAAATAGCGGGAACTGCTTCCAGTCTCTGCATTCTTGGATAAGGGTCACTGACTTAATCCAGAGGAGAAAAAGAGAAAGAAATCCAGAACTGGCCATGCCTTTCCACTTCTGCTGAAGAGCTGGGTCGGAAATACCAAAACCACAGCATCATCTCTAACAGAGAGGGAAACATAAGGCTGCCCTGAATATTTGAACAACTCTGAAAAATAACAAGGTCAAAATTGCTGCTGAGAGAAGTGAATAACTATTTTGCAGGTAGGAGGCTCAGAGGCATTTTGTTGTCACTTTCTGAGTCATTTCCACATCTCCTGGGTGAGAAAAACAGTTTCTACACAAACATATTGACATTTCTACCCACATTTCTTAGATGAGGAAGATTCCTGACCCACACTACACTCTATTGCCTTCTATTCTCATTATCAGCATTAAACGAAGAGCAGAGGAGTCATAAATAGATACATTTTAACACACACTCACACCCATTTCAGACTGAAGCCATGTCAGAAAAGTGAAACATTTAAATATAGATAAACTTTTGTTATATACAAACGAGATAAATATTAGTCCAACAGCCCTGATATTTCCAGCACTGAGGGCCCAAGGAAGAATTAACAAATGTGTTTCTAAATCCACTTTGTGCATCCCATCCCAACTTACCTTGTCTCCTTTGGTCCCACTAGCACCAGGAGGGCCAGGGCTGCCAGGAGGGCCCTATAAAGAGGTAAAATTGAGAGAAAAGTCTTTCTTTCTAAAGTGCAGGAGAAACAAGGCTGCAGATATTGGCAGCACAGTGATGTCCTATTGCACTGGGCAAGAACTAACAGAACATATGAGCCTGCTTTGAGTCTGCAGCACAAAGAGGAAAAAGAATAACAATGGAGATGCCACAGCAGCCATAATAACACAAATCCAATTTCAGCTGGTTCAGAAGAATTGCAGTTCAATGAGTATATCAGCATCAAACACAAAATTTAGTATGAAATTCAGGCATGAAGATTTACCCCCTTCTACGTGTCTAGACATGAAAAAGGAAGAAATGCTTCAGAAAACCCGATTTCTGTAACAGGGTTTCACTTGGACAAATTGTTCCTTTGAAGTACTAGACAAAAAGGATCCATTTTGACATCCCTCTGCATTTTCCTACTTCATCTACATTTGCTGCAAGTATAAACCAGTTCTTTATCCATCTGTAACACTGGAAAACATTTCCATCTTGCAAGGATAGTGATAAACACTAACTAGACACACACTTCTTGGTACAAGGCAAACTGCACCTGAGGAACAGAGCAGGATGCAGATGCTTCACCCTGGAGGTATCAGGCTCAAGGGTGGCAGTGATTAGCTGCATGGCTTTTGGCAAATCCCTTCTGTCCTCTGCTTCTTATTTTGTCCTTTGCTATTTAGCCCAGAAGGTCCTTGGAAGAAAAGGATGCTTCTCATTAGGTATCATTCCCTGGGTAATGAAAACAGTCTTGTGGAATCTACAGATAGTGGTTTTAGACAAAGCAGTGTGTGTCTGATCAGCAGAAATGTACTGATCTTCTAGGCCATTTTCTGTTTTCTTTTTGTTTTAAAAATGTAAATAGTCCTAAGCCTTTTTTTTTTTATTGAAAACAAACCCAATATATTAAATCCAGTTCTTTTCCTTTCCTGTTGTGGGCTTAAACAACCGAGTTTCTCTGAGTGCTTTCTTATGTATTTAATGAAAATTAAGACAAACATTCAGACTATCACGTTTAAAGGACTGGCATTTCCTGTGAGTGTAAGTTGCATTCTAGTTTAATTCTAAAAGCAAATAAACAAAAAAAAGAAAAGTGTACCAAGATCCTCAGAATAGGGACATGATTGGGTACTATCATGATTCAGCAACCACCCATGATAAGTCTCAGTTTTAGGGTCAACTTCCACTCTTTCCAAAGAAACACTTCCAGTTTTTGAGTATTTGCCACATACCTGTTTCCCCTCCACACCTGGCTTTCCAGGGAATCCATCCAGGCCTCTGTCTCCCTGGAAAAAGAAGAGAAAGAACCATTCTAATTTAAATCTGTGCTGTTTAGGTCATTGCCCTGAAGGTGATGCCCATACTATCTGCTCCAAGAGTAATGAATACAGAGAGAAATTCCAGTCAGTCCCATAGAGAAAATAGCTGAAATTCCTACATCTGTACCATGAAAAGTTGCTGCAACCAGAAGCAGGTTTGTGCTAGCTTTCCATGTTGGCATCCTTCCTCTGCCTGCTGAGGTGGGTTTGTGTAAACTGGACAATGTGCTCCAGCAGAATGTCAGCCCAGAACAGCTCTTACAAAACTAATAAAGCAATCCAGCAATAGGTTGGTTTTACCCAGTAATGAAAAATCTTTCATTTTTCACCTTTCCTTTCTATAACCTGGGGGAACAATTAATTTGTTCCTATATGTCTCCAGAGCTGGACAGTCCACAAAGGTCATATGCAATGGATTTCACCACTTTATTGTTTGAAGATATCAGTTTTTCCTCCTGAACCTAAAGCTGATTTTTTTTGCTGTAGTTCCAGACTAGTAAGTCTTTCCCTAACCCCCCACAGAGGAAAGTGTTTCCTTCATCTTTGCAATGACCTGTTATGTATTTGAAGATTTACAAAACTCCCCTTTCAACTTTCTCTAGACTAAACAACCATAATACTTTCAACTTTTCTTCATGGGCTTGTTTGTCAGTTCTCTGATCATTTTTATTGCTCCCCTTTGTGCAGTGTCCAATTTTTGCACCTCTTCCTTGTAGCTAGGTGCATGAAACTCAATACACCTGAGGCTAACTTTGAGCAGGAATATATTTTCATGTTTTATAGACTATTTTTCTGTTTAAATCACAGGACAATGTTTACTTTACACCAAACCCCCTTCCACAAGACAGCTCCTTGATCAGTTGTTCCCAATCCATAACTGCAATTTGTTGTCCTATGTGTATGAGACATCCTGCAGCTGTCCCTTCTCAATGCCATCTTCTACTTTGGGGAATTGTGTTTACAGGATAATTTTGAATTCTGACCCTGATCTGTACTGTTCTTCCATATTCAAGTTCAACATCATATTTTATAAACAAAGTTCTTGATAGAGATAACTGGATCAATTACATACGTCTGCTGAACTTCACTTTTCTCCTACTGATTGTGGCCTTTGACCATTCAATCTCTTTAGTTTAAAAACTCCTAGAAACAGGGACTTGTACTCTCTAAAGTCCTTAAATCTCTGAAAAATGAAACACAGATTTTGTTTGGATCCTTCACACACAGCTGAATATAAACTATCAAACACACACACAGTGCCAATGTGAACATGAATGTGCATGTAAAAACAAATTCTACAAGCACAAGCAGTGACAGAAAACTAATAGTTTTATGCTGTTTTTTAGTGTTTTTCTGTATCTTAAATTCTGTTAGATCATTGTTATTACCTGCAAAACCACACTTAGGCCATTTGATTTAATTCACTTCTTCTGTAAACTACATTGATTTGCCCAGTCAGAAATGGATTTGCTAATCACTATTTATTTTTCCTCCTTAGAAAGTCAATCAATCTTCCAACATAAATGTTATTTCAAATTATGTATTCAAGGAATGAAATTAAAGATACCTGTATCCTCCAGAAAGCCGCTGAAAACCACTGTCAGACACCCAGATCCACTTGCTTTGGAGGTATAGTTTCCACATTAATGCTTTCCTTTGTACTGCCTGAACTACAAATATCCTGAATTTAAGACTTTCAGCAAGCAACAGCTTGGTATATTGCTGACAAAATGTGCAGTGTGTTCCCAGGAGAATTTTTAACATCAATACACTGCAGCAATGAGTACTTCACACACGCTGCTTTAGCTGCCAAAACAGAAAAGTGTCGATGCTCTTACTGCTACCAATGGGGACTGGAAAAGGCAAATGTATTATTTATTCAAGCAAATACAAAAAAAGCTATTTGAAAACACTCCAAACAATTGTGTTTTCTGCTGTTTCTTCAGAAAAATCTGTCATTATAAGTATTTTTTATTATTTTCCCATTCTTTAAATAAGGCTACTCAGTGAAAGGTACTTTTCTCCCAATAGAAAGAGCAAACACATTAAAGTTTCATTCTCAAATTTTCACCTTAAGATTCCATTTCTTTCTTCTGTGTTCTACTGTTTTTTCTTCTTTTAACCAGTAGAACAAAATGGTGAAGATTCACAAGCAACTAGGGGAAATAACAATTCTGCCAAAACTTCAGTGCTGCTCTCTGACCTCTACCATTTAGAAAATTTAATGATTTGTTGGAAAAATGATTGCCCTGGAGTCTGTAGGGCCCTGGAAAGGCTGGAGGAGAAAAAAAACCCACTGCAGAGGAATCTGGCAGCAGCAGACCAGTCCTGCTGCCTTCTTACACAATCCCTTCTCAATAAAACAGACAAGGTTTTGCAGGATGGACACAGGATTATCCAGCAAAAGCAATGCCCTTTGTCACACTGAACTGCTGGATGTGCCTAAATTAGAATGCCAAGCATCACATACAGATATGGCTCCTGTTAGCAGGGCAGTGCATCAGAATTACCTGTCTGGAGTCTGTCCTGGGTTCTGCAATGGGCTCATTGACTGCAGAAAGGGCATGGGATAACCCTCATATGATGCAGTGCTTTTCCTAAAAAGCACTGGATTTGGGAACCTCACTCAACAATAAAACCTCAACATTTACATGCGAGGTCCCAGGATATGTGAGTAATGCAGCAAGATGGATGGGATACTTAGGGCTTTTTGATAGTAAGGGAGAAGACTTGATAAAACAATATTCAGTGCATCAACTAGTTTTCCCTCTGATATTATAACCCCTTTTCTCTTCAGGCACAAAGAAGCACAGGTTGCGTAGGTGTCAGTATTGAGGTTACAGACTGAAGAGCAGACAAGAAAATATTTGGCCCACTGAATTTACACCCACTGTTTTCACAGTAGTACTGACTGGTAAAAGTTAAAGCACTGGCAGTGGGTGCACTGAGACCATCATTAAAACCTGGGAAAAAATTGAAGCACAATTGTTGTAGCAGAGATTTGGCTGCTTCAGGGAAGGAAAAAAAAAAAAAAGGATGGGGGAGCACCTCTAATTGTGCAGATCCTTCTAATGAAACAAAACCTAATTCATTTATTCATTTCTTCCCCACTCTGATCTTCCTCTGCTTAGTCAGTTGCCTGCCCACACACAGCTCCAGCTTCCTCTCCCATCACAGTGATGTCAGAAAGATGGATTTTCTTCCAGGAGCCAAATATTCCAGCAGATTAGACAATGTTGCCTCTGGAAAAGCAGCAGAGGCACTGGCTAGACACAGGACACCTATGCAGTTCTGCAAAGGGCTGAAGGAAAAGCATGGCAGAGATAAAGTACAGTCCAGCCATTTGCTCTAGCTGCAATAATGAGGATAGGTAATACAAAATATGATCACTTTATCATAAACAGAAGAAAGGATGTTGGTGAAGAGAAACACAATATCTCACACTAAGGGCCTACTGATACTTTTTCCCAGTAGGCAAAAATTTGGTGTTAATTGCTGGGTTTCTCTCCAGAAGAAGATGGAGACTGAGAAATGGGAACAGAGCTATGCCAGCAAGATGATGACTCCCTCCTTTACACAAACACAGGGAAAGCTGCCAGACCCTCCCTGAGATAAACCTGTGTCAGGACTGGCTTGAGTCATAAGCAAGACAGAACATTTTTGAGGGGCCCTGAGCACTGCCAGGCAGGTCTACAGCAGAAGTGGGTGCACATCTGAGGTCTCTCTGAACACAATGAGCAAACTGAAATAACAAAGGCTTTGTGCCTGCCCAGCTCTCCTTTTAAATGCCTCTTCCAGGTATAATGAGCATTTGGTCTTTTCCTTGAGACACAAAAATGGTTCAAATCCCAGAGTGACCTGTACTCTGTGAAACAGCTGTTCACAGTCAGGAGAGAACATGGAACTGGGAAGCAATTCCATTTGGTTGAAGCCTTTGACATAATACAAATTACCTGGTACTTACTACTAGTGAGTTTATGGGGATGGGAGAAAAAAGAAACATAGGAAGTTCAATGATGTGAAAAACTGGAATGAGATGGGAAAATTCTAGATGCAGACATGGTCAGTGGCAGTCAGTGACCATCCTCAACTCTCAGGTTGTGCACACAATGTGAAGATCCCTTCAGATCTCCACACTGGCAACCTCCACTCCTCTCCTCCATCCCTAGCTACACACACACACTAAGTCCCTAAATGTGTTCTTAGTAGACAGCATAGATCCCAAAAACCCTCCTGCCCACCCATGGGAGGTAGGGAGCACTTGGAAGTGCAGTGCATGAGGAAACCCCATCCCTCTCTAGAGCTGCTGGCCTGGTAGTCCACCTCAGCTAATGGGCAAAGGAAAAGCCTGGATTTTCCTACCATGCAGCAGAAATACCTTGTCTCCTCGTGTTCCCTTTTCTCCTCTTTCTCCTTGTAGACCCTAAAAATAAAAACAAACAAAGATTATAAAGCTAAATCCAAGTAGAGGCATAGTTACCTCCTCTAATTAGTCACCATACCAGTGTGCACATCTGCACAATCAATTCAAGTGAACCTCAAGGACATTTTCTGTGTTGCCAGTCCTCAGAGTTGGCCACAGGCATGATCTAAGCAGACTCACAGAGCAGGGACTGCTTGTGAGCCCAAGAACATCTGTAATATTATATTGCCTGCAGACACACGACCCTCCTGCCAACAGCAGAGTGGAGGGACAGGGAACACACCACAGCTGCAGATGGTCTGGAAAACAACCAATGCTCTGCATTTTTCAAGTTTCTTGTAAACAATGAGAACTTTGGTAAAGGACAATACTGATGAGAAAACCTATCACATAAACAAGCAAGTGGGTTTGGATGTGGTAGCCAGACAGACAGCAGGTAGCTTTGAGAACTGGCAAAGGTTAGATGCACTCTGTCCTGGGGGCCCAGCACATTTTTGTGCTGTGAATGCAATGCCAGTATTCCTCAGGACTGCATAATTCATCTCCTCCCAGCTACACCAGAAACATTGCTGGAGCTCAGTTTGATGTGGCACTAGCACAGACAATTGACTCAATGGACACAAAAAGATTTCACCTTTCCTTAGCTCAGCAAATACCTTGTATTTTATCTTTATTGTAGAAACTGAGCAATCAGCTAATAGCTATAGAGAGACAAATATGCTCAGACAGTAGTGACCTCTCTAAAACTGCCAAAGCCTATAGTGCTTCTTGCTGTAATAATTTAATACTTCAGTTTACTTTTATATTATAGTGGAGTCTTACCTTCAAGCTAATGAGAGCTCCGTGTTTGGGTATATTTGGCCCTCAGGTTGATTTAGATAATCATCTAAATGGGCAGGGCTATTTTATACTAGAGCAGGTTGCTCAGAGCCCAGTCCAAGTTGGCCTTGAATGTTTCCAAGAATGGGGCATCCACCATCTCGCCAGGCAACCTGTTCCAGAGTCTCACCATCCTCGTAGTAAAAACCTGCTGCCTTATATCCAATCTAAATCTCACCCCTTTTACTTTAAAATCATTATCCCTTGTCCTATCAAAATAGGTCTTATTAAAAAGTTTAGCATCTTTAATATATTGAAAGGCCACATTAAGGTCTCCTCAGAGTCTTCTCCAGACTGAGAAACTTCAACTCTCAGCCTTATCTCACAGGAGAGGTGCTACAGCCTCCCTACCACTTCCATGGCCCTGTTCTGGACCTGCTCTCAGAGGTCCACAAATCTTTCCTGTGCTGGGACCCCAGTGATGGATGCAGCACTGCAGGTGAGGTCTCAGCAGAGCAGAGCAGAGCAGAGGAGCAGAATCATTTCCCTCACCTGCTGCCCATGGTGCTTTTGGACTCTGAGTGCACACTGCCAGCTTATGTCCAGCTTTTCATCCACCAGCACCACAAGAACTACTTGGCAGGGCAGCTCACAATCCTTTCATCCTCCAGCCTGTGGGAGATGACCCCCATCTGGGTCAGCAAATCTCAGAAAATCCAATCGGCCTTTCCAACATCAGCTTAAAGGCTGCTTACCAAGCTGGGACTACAAGAAAGAGCTTTGAAAATATGACTGGAAACTTGCTGAGAGGAGGTGTTTTTTCTTGGTGTTCTGTTGAAGTTTTAAAGCACCTTATAAATGGTGCATCATCACAGACCAAAGCAATTGCATTACAGTGGGAGCATCACAAAATCACCAGCTGTTATCTCAGTAATCAAGTCATTTCCGCTGACATCTCTCTACTGGCTACAGGTCTGTTCTCATTTAAAGAAGACAGAAGAAACTCAATGAAGTCAAGACAATTTTACCACTTGGACTTAGTGCAGATAAGTGGTCAGACAGACTATAGACTGCTTAATAATAAAAAATACGTACACTGAGCACACTGAGAAAGTAAAGAAAGTTTCTAGAGAATTAGAAATTGAACAAGAGCCGTGACTTACCGGTGCTCCTACGTAGCCTTTAATGCCTGGAGGACCTTGTTTTCCCTCGGATCCCTGGCAAGAAATTGAGATACAGTAAACCACCAGAAACTCTTTCACATAAAAGACCAAGAATAAAATTAGTTTGTCAGAAATGCATGTTGGTCTTCCAGACTCACATTGAGGCTTCTTGACTCTCTCAGTGCTAATACAGGAGTCGTGTCTTTCCAACTACTTACCCAAACTGACACTCCAGTATTTTCCTCTGTCCCCTCAGACATTAGCAAGTTTTATCCTTCTGCTTTCAGACTTTAACTAAAAACTGTCCCATACAGGTTTCTCTAGAGCTTATTTCAAAAGGTTTAGCAATGTCAGCTGTTGCACCCAACACCTGTTGGGGCTCCTGAACATAGCATTAATGGAACAAAGCAAAGGTAGACATTGCAGCAAAGTGACCACAGTCTTCAAAATATTATATGTTTTGAAGAGTAAATGCAAAGAAACAGATCCAAACTAAATTTTCCAATGTTTATGTTTACTGATAAGAAAAAATGCAAGAGGATCAGGTACATTTCATCAGTCTTTCAGCTGGTTGTGCACTGACTCACCCTGGAGAAGGTACACCGTAATGGAGAGTACTCACAATTTGCCCTTATGTGTCTTACAATGCCTGAAAATTATCTGGATCCCCAGCTGAACAGGTTCAGCCCTCAGAACTGTCCCATGGGGACAGCCTGGGCCTGGGAAGTTGACCTAGAGAATTGGTTTGGCATCTTATATCACCTATTTGACAGATTATTTTCTTACTTACATCACTTCCCCTTCCCACCACTCTCATCTGTCTAACTCCTGTCTAACACTAACTGGGTGGCTGTAATGGATAAGGCTTCAAAACAGATAGAGATATTATTACTAAATAATTTTATAATAATGACTAGATTTTGTATTAATAAAACTTTTACATTAGATAATAAAATTAAAAATGCAAGACATGTATGCAATTAATTAGTAGCAGAAGTGAGGCTTTTTTTTCCCCAGTGCAGGTTAACAAGAATAGGGTTCAAGCACAAGCAAAGATGGCTCTGGGATCAGACCTCTGCAAGGTCAGGAAGCCTTGCAAGTCCTCTTATAGCAAGCATGCACCTAAATCTCCCCTTCAGCCTGCAGAGAAATACTGCTACAAAAGTCTAGGCAAAACCCCAAGAGAAACAGTCCTGCTCCAAGTCATCCAAATTGCAGAAGTCTAACTCAGTCCTGTTACATAAAACGTGGTTGTAGCACTCAGCAGAAGTTATAGAGAAACTGGGTTTGTCTGGATGAGATGTGCTGAACCCACTCAAGGCCTGTGCTGAGATCATGTCTGGTAAACCAGAGAAGCGTGAGACCTTCGACAGGTCGAGCAAGCAAGAAGGAAATTTGTCAAAATGAAACTCTTACCTAATACTTTTTATTTCAAAGGATTGATTTTTTTTTTCCCCTCTCCCTCTGCTTTTTCTATTAAGTGCAGATAACTGTCAGTTCAGATGGGAATGCTATAGCTATGTCTGTGCCACAGCAATGACAACCACAAAAAACCTCTTTATCCTTTTATTAGAGATACAGTGGGGAAAAACGAAGGAAAAGGTTGAATATTTGCAGCAGGATATTGCAGGCTAAAGGGTCTGATCTCAAAAATCCAAACTTTATTTCTCTGCCATAACATTGTGCAGTGAACAATCTGAGATCTGACCCTTTTTCTCTGGACCCACTTATTCCATTTAAATTAACCTGTGAGGTCCCACATATTTATGTGGGAGTTTTCCCCACTGACCAGTGAATATTTCTTGCCGTCTCAGATTACCATGACATCTGTAACCAGAAGCTCCAACACCTCAGCACAAGGCTGACTTTGATGACTCTTCTTTGTATCCAGCTTGTAGCCAGCAAGATCATCCATCATTCTCGGGGAACAAAGAAATTTACCCTCCAAGTTTGATGAAAAAGAAAAAACTCACTCCAAACCCTACAGGTTTATGCTGAAGACACTGAGCTAGGAACAATCTCCCCCAGAGACATCACTGAGAAGCAAAACCAGTAAAACCAGGGATGATGTACCAAGGTCATTTCATTCCTGTAACCTGTACATGAACCCTAATGGGCTCAACGACCATTTCTGTAACTCTTTGGACTGAAATTCCATTACCAGAAGTCTGGAGGACTCTTATCTGTGCTACTGGAAGCTTCACACAATTAATGAGGTCTGTAAAAAGTACAAGACAATGTCTTAAAAGAAAGTGCTGGCAATTCCCACTGAAGCAAAAGGCTCCTCAGCCAAGGAGATAAACAAGGGGCTGAATTTCCTGGGGCACAGGTATCATTGCTGAGCACACACTGGGCTTGTCTGGCTCAATGCTAATGAAGATGGATCGAGACAGGAAGGATCACAACCCAACCAACCAGACAAACTGCAACATTGCTCTCCACGGAGCCTGGGGTAGAGCCCAGAGCTGCTATATTGATGCCAAAAATAAGTGATCTGCCAAAAAACCTCTAAATAATCATTACACCAGTAATTGGAGATGTGACCTCTCTAATTGCCAACTCCACCCATCCTTATACACCTTGTTCCACATTGATGAGGTGCTCAGGCTTTACACTGAGGAGTAATGTGGATTCCTGTTTTAGATTTTAAAGCCCTGTCAGCAACTCAGGGTTATTTCTTAAAATAGCTCAGGCCAGAATCCAGCTCAAGGACACTGCTCACAGCCAATGCTTCATTGAGGTAAATGAAAGTCACTGTGAAAACACACAATAATTTTATATTTAGGCACTGTGAGAGGCTGGGGTTGGCCAAGCTCACGTCTTCCCTGGGAGCACCTGGCACTGTCCAGTCAGATGTCTTTAGGTCCAGCCCCACCAGCACCTGTCCTGCCCAGCCCACAGATCCGAACTCCTTCTATTCTGCATTGCCTCATTAATTGGCAGAACTGCATGTTCCTGAAGAACCTGGTGGGAAATATGGAGCAGGATCAAGTCCACTTTGAGGAAAATGTAGGTACCTCAGTTTAGCTTGGTTTGTAAAAGCTTTGCAAAGCAAATGTGAGGAAATTCATACCACAAAGAGCATCATATAGCCTGCTGTTCTGTAACTCCACTACATGAGACATGCAGGACAGAGAGAAAATATGTATTTATTTACTTGATAGGAGAGATGCAGATAAAAAGCATTTGTGAGTGATAAATTCAGTTCATTTCAGCCAAGATCCAAATCCTATTAAGGGCAAAATATTCAGTGTGCTGCCATTCGGCTCAGCCCAGCCCTGCTTTGCATGTGTCATTTATCCCCTGCTGAAGCCAATGTGGTTTCCACAGAGAACCCTGGGATGGCTGCCAAGTATTTCTGCTAATCTAAAAACTCCTCATGAGTTCTGATACTCTCCTGATGGGACTTTGGGAGAGGGTGAATTTCCCTCTATGCAAAAACACCTTTTGGAGACAGGGCTCTGCATAGCTGAGGAACACAGGGGACCTGTGTATGACCTGCTTCATCAAGTCCTCTCAGACAGAGCCAAGGGACAGTCAAGGCTACACCCAGAAAGGTGCTGAGGTACCAAACTCCTATTTGAGGGTAATGGCATCAGTGAACTCAGTGTGAGATTTAGGTGACTAGAAATGGCTCTTTCAGAAAGATGAGATATTCAAAAGTCTTGGCTTCTACAGGAACAGAACTGAGTGAAGTTAATTTAGGCAAATAGTTGTCCTTGCAGCACCTTTTACAAGATGAACTGAACTTGCTGTGCATGGTACCCCCAAAAACACACTTGTCACCATCTACTTTTTATGTTATAACAGCAAGGCTGAAACCACATGAGGGTATTTATCCCCTCAATAACCAGGGAACAAGGCAAGGAGAGCTGAGACTTTGAAAGAAGGTTAGAGAATTGCTGCTTCAAAATTTGCATTTCTGATGCCCAGCTAAGTCCCACCAGATCTGCATTCAGAAGCACCTTGTTTGAAGCAAACCCAGTGATATAAGCACTGGCTTAAGTTCTGTATCACTCAGGCACTGCTCACTGGTGCAAAACAGAAGCTCCCAAACTAGGCAGAAACATTAAGGATAGGATCTCTACATGTTCTATTTTTCAAGTCATAGAGTAGGAGTAATAATTCTCATCAGCATCTTAGTGAGAGTTGGAAAAGCTATAGAAGATATGACACAAGGTTTATGTGCCCCAAAACATGCTTTGTTCACCTTCTCCAGCTACACTGTTGATTGAAAAAAAGTTATTTCTTCTTCTTACACTCTTCGCATAATTGCTGATACCTTAGCAGGCCCCTTATGAAAATGGGCATTTTAAGTTTCTAAATTCACTAGTAAGAATATCAAATGTCATCAACAATGAGTAATTCAAGCCATCTAAACATAAAATATCAGTTAAAGAAATATGCCTGCCCATGCAAAGAAGAAGGGAAAGGTTACCTTTGGACCTGGTGGCCCAGGCAGTCCAAAGGCCCCTGGATGTCCTCGTTCACCCTGCAAGTAACAGAAATATCACTGGTAAACACAAATCTTTTATATAGAAAGGCTAAGATAGCTCAAAATAGTCAGTGCATGCAGTTAGAAATATTGACAGTCCTGAGTGCCATTATACAGAGAGCTGAAAGTCTACAATGTGTTTTCCTCAGAAAAATGAAAGCAGAAATAAAATGAAAACTGAAGCAGCTCTTTATCTACTCTCAAAACACAATCAAGTAGTAAAAAATGAATTCCCTAAGTTGTGAGCAGCTTGCACTGATTAAAGTGTGCAAAGATGGATTCCTTGGAGTCAGCAAAATGCATTTGTTCTTGATTTGTCACCTTGCAGTGTATAAACAAATCTTATAAGGAATTCTGTAAGTACAACAGCGTCCAATCCCATGCCATGTGTGATGTGATGAAGTTGCATCAGTTCTGGAAGCAATATTGAAAAATTGTCACAGTTTTTCCAAAGTAGGACAATCGTGGAACAAAGAAAAAACAGGATGTAAGGAAAAGTGTTTTTTTGCTGTGTGTGTCTCCTTTTATGTATACCTGCCTTCCAGAGAATCCTTTCCCAAGCTCCTTCAATTGCCACCAAGTGACTGCCATAAAGTGAAAGACATGGTGAAGGTTCAACATTAGGTTGAAGACATTTCTAAGGGATGGTGATCAGGCAAGGGAAAAGATGTAAGGCTCTAAAACACACTTCTATGAGATACTGGAAAACATATTTATGGTTTTCTGTTTCAGCTGTGGTCCTCTCACAGGCAGTATTTGGTACACTGCATCCTTCCTAGAACTAACCTTGCCCTCCTCCTCTTCTCTTAGTATTTATCAGTGCACAGAAGGACTCGAGGTATTTTCTTCTGTGACCAAGACTCCAGTTTCTCCTGCTGTGGAAAGCAGCATGGCCCCTTGCACCTTTGCTGACTCTGCTAGCCAAGGACTCCTTGCCAGCCATAAAAGAAGTGGCCAGGCTCTGCAGCTGCAGCTCTTTACCAGCAGATCCCAAACCACAGAATACTCCCTCTCCCTCCTTAATGAATGACAACAGAGCTGCCCTGGAGCTTCCAGCCATGGTTTATCCATAGGACACCTGCCTTGGCTGCAGACATGTGAGGGAGAGTTTTGGGACTATTAACCTCCTGCCATTTATTTCTGCTGCTCCTAAAATGGCCACACAAATCCCCCAGACGGGTTCCACTCCAGGCAGGCTGATGCCCACTGCCTGCCTCACACTGAAAAGCAGGATTACATGGGAGGAACAAAAAGGCTTACAGCTTCTCCTTTTGCTCCATCCCTCCCAGGGGGGCCAGGTGAGCCCAGGGAACCCTGTAACAACAACAGAGTTATCATCAGCACAGCATTAACACCCGCTGCAAGTGCCGTGACACGAGCAGCACATCTAGAGAAGAATAAGAAATGAGGAGAAACATTTCAACACAAACATTCATTATTTACAGTTCCTGGAGGAGCTGCTGCTGACATTAACACACTAGGGATGATTGATGAGCTGCTAATGAGGAACTAGGCACTCTAGTCCACTTAACTCATTTAAGAATAAATTAATATAAAAGCTCTGGAGCTAATTAGACACATAACAACTGAGTCATCCTAATATTATCATATCATCTTCTCTTAGCTTCTTTCTTCACCATTCCATTGTCTCAAAAATTGCATTATTATTTTTTTCCTCCTTGATTATACAGCATTCATCCCGAAGTTCAGAAGCCTCTAGGCAAAGCTATAATATACATAAGTAGTAAGCCTAAAAGCAAACGGAAAAGAAGCCTTGATATACTCAAGCAGTCCTCAGGAATGACCCTGGCCACTGGGAAGTGAGTCCCAGAGCTGTGAATATGCAAAGGTGTAGAAAACAAAGAAACAGAATGCCAAATAACACTTAAATTCAAAATTTTACCATTTAAAAATCTTCCTATGCACCAGGATGAATGGAACTAAATATGCTGAGATTGGCAGCTCCCCAGCTAACAGGAACAGCAGCAAATGTGGAGAAAAAGCAAGTTTTCTGCCTGCAGCTGGCAATTTAAAGAACAAATGGAGAGTGGAACAAACAACAGACAGGTTCAACACACAGTGAGGAACTGGCTTAGTGTTTTCACTTCTCGCACTGCAGCAGTTTTGTCTTAGGTGTGTTATAAAAAAAAGGCTCAAGTGAGAAACAGACATGGGCACTGCAGGCTGTGATTGTACAGGGCTGGTTTGTTGTATGTTACTTGGAGAGGCATTTTGCCTGATCTGGAACATTTGCTGTTTTATAAGAGGTGGAAAAAGTTTAATTTCCTAAAACTCCTCCTGCAAATGAGAATTTGATTAAGGGATTTCCAACAAATGTGTCCAAAGTCAATACTAGTCAACAGAATTATTTCAGTGCTGGATTTAATTTTTGTTTTTTTTAAAATGATGACACAGTAAGCAGCTAAAGGCCACCACAGTCCAGAAGTTATTTATGTTCAGTGCAAGTAAAGGCACAGTAATGTTTGGCCTTCTGTGTCTCATATTGAAGAGACTCTAGTGTTCCTGTGTGTATTAGCACTGAGCTCCTGTTCTATTACATTTAAGTATTTTGGAGTTTTACAAAGTTTAGTCAAAGCTCATGCCTTTGAGCTCTCCACACATTTGTGAAATGTGGCTGAGCATCATCAATAAAACTTTAAAACTTAAAAACGTTTGGCTGCACTTTGATGAAAAACAGCACAACATTACAATATCCTGTTCTGAGCACCTTCCTTACACAAAATGAGACACAATATAATACAGAAGTAAAACAAAAGACTTAGAGTAGGGTCAGTTTTCATTAGACTTCCACAGCAGCTTATAAACTCTTAAACTTTTCAAAGTATAATTAATAAAGACTTTGACTTACTTTTTCTCCTTTGTCCCCTTTCAGTCCAGGGAAGCCAGGAAAGCCTTCTTCACCCTACAACAGCAGTGGAAGAAATACCCCATATCAAATGCCATATCATTCTGTGCTATATCTGTGTACTTTAGACAGTGCAGTTGTCATCTCTTGAGAACTGAGTCCAGCTTCTCACCCTCACTGTAACAATGCTCAGTCACCTGTCACTTGCCCATATTTGAACAGCTTCACTTTCAGTTTTCTATTCCAGTGCATTCGTTCCCTTCCTTTTTGTAATTACCATCCAGAACCAAAAGTTTTCTAAGAAAAAGATTAGAGACCTACCCTTGTTAAAAAAAAAGGATTTGAAGCATTTCTTCCTTGAGAAACCCTCCTGTTGCCATATTCCAAGGCACAAGAACTTGAAGTTTGGCATGGCCAACTTACTACAATGCCAAGTTCCCAATGCCATGGATTTTTTTTTTAATTGAAATAAATGGCATGGAAATTGACATGAAAAATTTTGGAAAAATTCAAATGTAGGATTTTTTTTCCTTCTATCTACTCTCATTAGGACAAAAGACTGGGAGCTTTTTCCCCATCTGCTTTTGTAAAAACTCACTAGCACAGAAGGATCCTTTTGCAAGAGCATTAAATTGGCTAAGAAGTTGATGCATATATTTATTTCCAAGTTGTCTGCATACACATAAGGACTACCTAAATATGTAGATAAATTCAAGCCAAATTCTGCCACTAGCAATCTTATTTCTGACTTTTTTCCATAAGTCTAGTCTAGCAGAATTAGATGGATGTACTCCTAGGGCAAGGTTCCCTATTTTGACAGTAGATAGTGTTAAAATCCAGCCTTATTTACATAAAGGTGTATTTGGCACTTAAAGGTAAACAAAAGATAGTATCTGAAAAGTATCTGTCCTGTATATGCAAATTAAAGTCTTCATAATCACATTTCTTGCTAACTGAACCTTCACAAAGCACTCCAGAATTTGCAATGCAGCTGGTGGTAAAAATCAGCTCTGCTCTATTGGAATGGCTCTCTAATGAGATAGAAAACCCATCAAATCGAAAACATGATTTTTGAGGAAATAATTTGCTCTGAGAGGTCAATATAACTTGAAGGAACTGTTGTTGCATGGCAAAGTGTGTCACACAGGTAGGAGAACAATTTGTGTCTTTCCCATGCAAAGTAAAAGGAGTTTGCATAAGGTCCACTTAATTAGCTTCTTCTCTTGCCTTTTTTTTTTTTCCTGCCATGAAATAGCAAATGCTTGGCAAAGCTGAACAAATTAATCCTAGGAGCAGCCAATAAGTTTGAAGCATGGTGTTCACAGAAATATTAATGCAGGACAGGGGAGTATCCACCAGTTTTTCCTGTTTTTCTCCAAGGAGAAAATTGCACAGAACCCCGACCCTAGAGACAGGTTTAATGTCCCCTGGGGAAGCACCACTGGAAATGCTGCAGAGTGAGAAGAGCTCCTACTTCTGTCCCTTCTGCTGACCTCCAGTAGAATCAAAAAGACCTCCTAGGTCAAGTCCAGCCTTTTACCCAGCATGGCCAAGTCCACCACCAAACCACATCTGCATGTTTTTTCAACACTTCCAGGGACAGTGGTTCCTTAACTTCCCTGGGAAACCTGTTCCATTTGCTTGACCATTAAAAATTGCAAGCATTGTGTAAATATGGAAAAGAAAGAGCAGAGGCAGGGAGCACAGGGTAGTGGATTAACTGCCAGGCAGAGACTCTGCAAATGCTTTGGGATGAAACACATTGGGACAACAGGTAGGCTCTGGCAGTTGGCATTGAGCCCTGGGGAACAAAAGTCCATCACATTCTTTGCACAAAAGCCAAACCTGGTTGTGCCACTGAGAGGGGTTAAAATAGTCCTGTGTTCCCAGACTGGCTGCGCTCCCAGTTTCAACACAATGGGAATCAGGTGGTGACATGGAAACCACACGTAGCTGTTTATGCCATGCAATCCTATTGTCACCCATCTATTTTATGAATATCTGAAATTCAAAGGCCATCCTTTTCTGGAGAAGCACCAGAACCACAATAGGAAGGTAATAAGGACTTGGGAAGGTAATGAGAAGCACCAGGAAAAGAAGAGGCTACTGATAGAGGAACTGACAACAGCCTCTAAGGCATCTTCCCTTAGGTTTAGCCTGTGTTTTCTGGAGTAGTTTTACACTTTAGATGGGGTGGCCTTCTGCTTTTTTGGTCAATAGTTTTGTGAAGAAAAACTTGAATGTGCAGGTAGTGGTACCTGTGAGGTATTTTGCAATAATAAGTATGGCATTTGCAGTAACAAACAAGCTTGGCTTGTTCTTAAAATTGAAATACTTATGAGAATGAGTTCTTAAAAAATGAAATACTGCAAGCTCTGAGGATACAGCACTAGAAAAGTCACTCTAAAAACTCCATCCTTCATTCCACAAAGAACTGATAACAATTCTGCAAGATAGAAAATTAAGAAGGCTTTCTGAGCCATACTGAAAACAAAAAGTTTAACCAGAATTCAGTAAAAAGGATAGAATTTTGAATTTCTTTGCATTTACTTTTGAATGGAAGCATTCAGAGCCTCACAATGGATACAAAGCAAGGGGTAGCCACTGCTTCTGTTCTTCCAGAGACTCTCAGAACAGGGCTTACATGGGCACATGGTTTGTCCAGACTCAATGGACTGAAAGAAATGCCACATGATGAGGAACTTCAAAGCACAGGCAACTCTCAGCTGCTGCAGACAGAGTATTGGGTGATGAAGAATAAAAATATTCCTCTTGGCTTCAGCCAAAAAAAAAAAAAATAGGTGATCTGGGTAAGGACAGACACGCTCTGGTTCCATTGAGAGGTTCCTTTGTTAGTTTGAGTATGTTAGCAGAATTATTCCATTTCTATATTTGAGGAAGGATGTCTGCCTGGTACACCACCATCCTGTGGATTTACCAGACCATGCCAGCTCCAGGTTAGTGATCCCTTCACACTTACCATATGCACATGTACCTTGTTGTGGGTCATGCAAAAATTCACCTCACTTGGGTTACAGTGAGCCCCACTAGCCCACAATTTATGGAATACCATATGTTTATGGTCAGTGACCAAATTATATCCACATTTGCCATGGTGTAACCCCAGCCAGCAGCCAAGCCCCACACAGCTGCTCACTCACTCCCCCACCAGAGGGATTGGGGAGAGAATCAGAAGGGTAAAAGCTGGAAAACTCTTGGGTGGAGACAAAGACAATTTAATAGGGGAAAGCGAAAGCCAAGCACACAACCAAATCAAAACAAGGGGAAATTTCCCTGCCTCCCATGGCAGGCAGGAGTTCTGCCATCTCCAGGAGAGCAGGGAACCATCACAGGTAATGGTTACTTGGGAAGACAGGCACCATCACTGCAATGTCCCCCCTTCCTCCTTCCTCCCCCCACTTTGTACACTGAGCTTGATGTCACATGG